TTATGCACGCAAAAGAAAACCATTCACAGACGGCGATTTTTACTTTTTAGAATGTGCCGAAGATCTGTTTTAGGGTTTTTCCGACAAAGGTGATAATCTGGACAAAATCAGAGACGTACTGTACTTTGCTCAAAAGCGTTCAGCGGCATACAGTACAGTATAGGCAGTTAAAAGATTAAAACTGGTTAAGTAAAGGCGTGTTTGTGATCTACTTGGCGATTAAATACATTTTTATAACACATATATAATAGATTTTTGTTAAATGATTGTAAGCATCTAATAGTAAATGGCACGCATTGTTTTTCAAATTTAGCCCCTAAAGAAGTGTCGTGATACAGAATAGGCTTATACTGTATGTACTGTACAGTATACAGTATATACTGTACCTTGGACTTTTTCAAATATATTTTTAAATCAGTATTTTTGCATCGTAATTACTCGGACATGCAAACTACGTTTCCAAGAGCAAAAATGAAAAATTGTAGTTTTTGTCTGTCAAATCTGAAACTTGAGCTGGTGAGTCGGATCTACAGGAATGTTCACTTGCAACTACTTAGCAGTCAAAATTTCCCTTAAAATGATAATTGCGGACTATCTTGTTAATTAGGTAGAAAGGTCTCCAGAATATTAACTTCATGCTTCAATTTAAATAGAAAAAGTCCAAACCAAACAGAGCTTAATAAACTCTTTGTCTTTCAGGATACATAGCTGGGATCATAAAGGTTGTTTTAAAGGCACCCAACTTAAAGATCTTACTCTGCATTTGAAACTGGGCCATGCAGCTGCAGATCTGTTTTACTGTCAAGACTGTAGCAGGGACCTACTGTATACAGAACAGACCTGGATATTTAATTACTGCAGCATACCCTTTAGGCCATAGAAACACAAAACTTGGGAAAAATCTATTTAATTTTGTTGCATTCATGCTTGATTGAATATACCATTGTGGTTTTGTTCAAGATTAGAGATTCACATTAAGAGACCACTCCTGAGGCAATTATTTCATCTGAGGTATTTTTGAACCATCCTCTCAATTTGTCTTATCATAGTTTATGTATGTTTCTGAAAGTAATTACTGCTGAGTCTGCAGAGGTAGAAAAAGAGCTTCAGTGTTTTTGACTGTATGCGGCTGTCTTTGTGTAACACTGTGGATCCCAACATAAACAAAAACAGTAGTTTTAGGCATTGTGTTCTTAGTGAGTCCCAAATAGAAACAACAGATTTCTTTAATATTAGTTTAAAAATCTAACTGCTGTATTTAGTTATATACTGTAATTTATTTTTGTATAGTTTCTGTTGTCAATTGTGATATTGTTTTTCTATAACTATAGGAATAATTTGATGCAATTGTGCTTGCAATAAATAACAAAACTAGCATTGACCCCATTGAGCTCGAAGGCTTTTTAACCAATGTTATTTCTACAGGCTTATATTCTAGAAATTTCTAGAAAACAAACAAAATACCAAGATTATGTTGAACTATGAGCTAAATCAGATAAATTATCACACAAAGGCATATTGCTATAATTAATTGTATTTGTTGTCTGTTTAAACTTGTACAACATTGTTTTTCCGACAAACTTCTGCGCCGAATCCTACTTGTCTATGGACAAGAAAATCACTTTTTGTGGATTGACAGTAGGATTTACTAAAGACTGCAGAAAAATCCAGCGTCATTCCAGAGAGAAATGTGAATATTAAAACTACTATAAATTAATTATACAATTACAATTAATCAGATTAACAAGTTAAAATAAATTGGATCATGTTTTTTTTAATTTGTCCATCACCGGTCAATATTATTTGACATACCACAACTTGTGGTCTATCCAGAATAATTAAAGATTATTAAATGAGCAAGTGTCAAGCTTTATCTTATGGCTCATGTATTGAAAAATGTTGATTTTTGAGTAATTCACAAATGACATGGGCTTGGAGCAGTACATCTGTTCTGCTCTAGATGAATAAACAGAAACCCTTCTTGGGAAAATATGACACTTTATTAAACAGCGAGCCCCCTTAGAACAGATTGTCAAATCAAAGTGTGACATCTGACAAAAATATCCTCGCTGCCGGTGGAGAACATAAGGCTTGTGCAGCATGTTGTCAGTGTGAATACTGAAACAATACTTGGTTTTTGCTTAGTAGATGCCATTATCCAGAGTGGCATCCTCTTGCGCATGTGCATACGATCAATGCAATAAGTGGATAAACCTTTTTTATAAATAGAAAGTAGATTCGTTGACATGATCACAAGCCTGCCTGCACCCAGGAAGAGCTCTGGCTGACTGATCCGCACAATAGCCCACAACAGAACTGTTCGTGTGCTGTTTGAAGAATCCCTCTCGCAGCTGGGTGGTGACATGACCCAGCCTTGAACTTCCAAAACCTAGATCATAGAGCCCAAAAGTACAGACTGCTCAGAGCAGCCAATTGAGCCACCTGGGAGCCTCATTGTTCATTATACTGTATATTTTGGAAATTTTATCTCAACATCTGGTGCGATATGTCTCTATAGACGTACTTCTTAAAGAATACAGGAAGGTAGTATTTTTAATAATGATGTGCCATCTGTTTAATTAACAGCAAAATAAAGCGTGTCATGTTTGATTTGCAAGGCACTTGTTATAATTTGAAAGTGATGCACAATTAAAAAAGGTTAAATACATCCCTGTTACAGATGCAAGTAAAGTTCCACACATTTTTCCAGCTGTGCATTTTACCTTCCATCTTAGCAGTTAGCATTTCCAAATGTAACCTTAATATTGATTTGTGTATATTGTAAGCTCATGGCTAAAGCAACAAATATCAACCCTGCCCAAGCTGCCTTTTTCTAAGAAAGGGAAACATTTTAAGCCTTACTGGGTTTCCTAGACAAGTTAACAGATTCATTCTTTTGAAAACTTTTAATAAAGCTTTGGACCGCATGACTTTCTTAACCCTTTCACAGCAATTGCTTTCTCTAACCATTGGTCAAGTGGCTGTACTGCTTTATCTGTTCCTTTAAACCTGCACAAATCCCTGCTCTGCATACCCTAGGGCATGAGCACTTCTTAACCTTTTAAATCAAATCTTGATATGTAAACCTGTAAGCCATTCAGATTTGTATATACTGTACTTTACATTCAGCAAAGGATTAGCCCACAGATATGGCTAAAGCCTCAGATGTTACTGAATAAAAATGCAGGAAATCAGAACTTGATCTTCAAATGCAGATTTCAAATCTGAAGGTCTTCTGCTCAAAATCATTAGTAATGTAGTTCTAATAATTATGAATATCCCGCCTCACACTATTTAATCTTTTAAAAACCAAGCATTGTGAAAAACAAATGTTTGTCTATAAAGGAGGAAATACTCAAAAGGCTAGTGATTTAGTAGTCAAAGTATCGAATTACAGCACATGTGCTTAAATAAACCATTCATTACAACAGTGAGGAATTACTCAATAATGAGAGATAATCACACCATATTACACTTTAAATAAAATGCAGTTTATCAAGGTTACACTCTATTATTTGTTAAACATGAGCTTTTCAATTTTTTGGATTCTTAGTGAACTTTGATGCCACAATCTGTCTGACTCTGGAATATGTGTCATATGTGTGTGGATATTAACATAGATATTTGTTTAATCAATGGTATTGCGTGTGGGAAATGTTTTAGGTTTTTATTGTTGTTCATCAAAACACATTTAAATCTATAAATATTTGAGAACCTTTCTGAGAGACAGAAGGGGTTTTATCAGTTAAGAAAAGGAAGAAGGAAACATATCCATGTCGGCCAAATAACTTTTTGGCAGAAACATGTAAAATCTCTCTTTGAAAATCCAGGGCTGATCATTTGATCACACACTAAAAATTCCAACCATAAGAGCTATTAAAGCTGAAAATGCATATCCTCTGGTTCAAGTTCAAAAGAAACAGAAACACTAATGTTATAAATAATTCAGAGAAAACGTGCTTAACTTTTGCACATTTTAAATAACCAGTGTTTTTCAAAGATTCTCCTCCAGTTTTTTCAGTGTGTACCGTATATGAAAAGGACTCTCTGTTTATGGCATCATAAAGGGATTTTTTGTATAATTTGCATTTTCCTGATAGTTCAGTTCTTATTTGTTATGTCTTTATCAGTTCTTTGAATGATTCTCTGTTGTTCTCTTTATTTGCATTTCAATTTGGCAAGCTAACATGCTGCTTAACCAAAACAAAACAGTTTTAAATTCCCTCAAACTTTCCTGTTAGGATACTATCAGAGGAGGCAAATTAGCCTTATTTAACCACTTCCCCTGTTACATGATTAGGGTTTTGACAGGAGTGAACCAAAGTATAATGAAAAACTGTTTTTGTTCCAGTAACAGTCCTTTGTTTCATTTATTGAAAAAAACATATTAAGGTGTATGGCATCCAGGAAGTTAATGGCTATAAAATAAGGTTATCATTTTCTGACTTTTTTAGTTCTATACTTAAAAAGATCATAAAATTAGGATTTCACATTGTGATAAAGGTAGTCTAATATATAGGCACACAAAGGTAACTAAGTGCTTTCATTGGGTACTTTGTAGTGGTTAGGTTTAATACCAATTGTTATTTTTTAATTAAACTGAATCTTTTAAGTCATTTTCATGAATGCTGCATGGATTTGAAAATGTGAAGTAAAAATCATTTAGAAAATTATTAGAATAGTTTCAAAGAGCACACCACAGTAATACTATTAAAAGTTTTCCTCCCTGTGTTACTCTCTGCTGTCATCTGATTCCGTCTCTCTCACACATTAATTGTATGAATCATTGTGTGTTAATCCAAACCACCAACAAAGAAGTTGACAAAGTTGTGATATTTCTGTACTCATACTGGAAGGTTGCAAGGAGCAGACCTAAAAGTTGCAGGTTGAAGGGCCTGAAAAAATTGAAACATTTTGCATTTAAAAGGTTTCTTTGATTGGAATTGGACTGAAGACCTACAGATAAATTAAAAGTGAGTCATCTGCTCCCCATTCATTCAGCCTCCAGAAACTATTGTGAGTTACTTACTGGTAGGTTTTTGCATTATTATTCTGTACCATAGAATGACACTTAAAGCTTTTGTTTCGGGGGTCTCTATTTGCTAGTTGGCAAATTTGCTGTCTTTGCTAATTAGTGGAGACACTTTTTTACTGTCTTTTCTCCTTTTCCCCAGTTAAATATCCTGTACAGTATGTTTTCAGGAGAGCCATAGAAACACTAAGCACTGTTGCAGACAGTTTTGTAATAGATGTTCTACTCATATATTTCATATATGTAGGATTACATTCCTCTGCAAATCTGCTGTGCTCAACCAATGTTTCATAGATTTGCAGACTTAAAAATAGTTTAATAACAAAATGAAATAACTGCATACTCAAGATAGTCCTAAATAGTATCATGGCACTTGTTTTTAGGACAACCAACATTTTCACTGCTACACAGTAACGCCTCTGCTTCAATATGATTCTATGATTTCGTATGACACAATGTTTTGTCTCTTCAGTCACATTTCTGGCCATTTTAATTGAGGCTTTCTAATTATGCCATCATTTTTGAAAATGTGCATCCTTGCTTTCAGAGAGGTTTATTTTGTCTCTTCAAGCACCGGCACGATTGTCTAACAGGACTTGACTTTGCTGCTAGAGCAAAAATCACTGGTGAGTTTGATGCAGAAAATCAGATTACCTGGATAAAGGCCAAATAAAGTGCTGAAAAGGTTGTGCTCTGTAGTCGTCAGATAAGTAGTGTAAGCATTAATGAAAAACAAGCACAATTATTTAACTATTTAATTTTTTCCCCCTTACTTAAGCTTCAATCAACCTTCATACACAACATTGTTCAACAGAAAGAGTCTCTTGAAATATATTAAGGCAGACATCTGCTAAATATACAGTAAGTTTTGACATTAAAAAGATAAAGTTGTTTGACCATGTTTTTCCACACTGAAAGTATCTCAAAGTAATCCCCTAAGCACCTAGTTTAATGCTTCTCCTAATTTTTTTCAAAGAGACTCCAGACATCTGGCAAGTTGAGGAGGCCAGATGCAAATTAGTCCACCAGAATTTTAGAACAGACACATGTTTTCCAGTTTTCAACAAGTTTTCTTAAGACTGTTTCTCCCCAACCGATGGCTGTTCAAATATCTCAGAATCCAAAGATTTTCATTCATGTTGACTGTTTGTTGTGCAACTGTGTCCTCAGGTAGTTCGAATTACAAAAACAGATTTTGTGAACTATAAATTATCTGCATTTTCAAGTGCACTTTGTTCTTCAAAACTTGGAATGTTTTTTTATTCCAGTTTTAATAAACATGGGAGGCATATGAAAGGAACTCCTGATTTTTTTTTCTGCTGCAAATATTTATTTCCCAAGCTGTTCCATCCTCAGATGACCCTGTTTTTTGTACATTTTGGTTTATTCCACAGATCAGAACCACCCTACTTAAACTCAGTTCCGTTGAGGGTGTATTACATGGATTTAAACTCTTGTGGCTTTAGTGGGATTTCGGAGGAAGGGTCTAACTAAGCAAAATTGGAATGTAACAGTAATACACCCACTGAAGTTTCTTGCCCTATGTCTTTATTGTTACATTAAAGTTTTCTCTTCCTTTTCTGTTCCACTGACAACCAACAATTTCTAAGCAATCATATTTATTAAGAAAAGCAGGTAGCTTGTATCTGGTCATTCCCAGAAGCCATTTCAAATCAATTGAATTCTTTCTTGGCACATGTACTAGTGTTATTTGTATTTTCCAATAAGCTTTCGCAGTTCTTGGCTAGTTCACAGTATTGCAGCTAAATCCCATTTGTGATGACAGAGCAATCTTACTGTAGGTCTGGGATGATATAAGCTTCCCAGTCATTTTTAAAGCCCTTTCTAAAGGGTCATTTCTGCATTCCTCTGTCATTCAACTTCTTCTTTAATTGTCTTTTTGGTTTTCTACCTAATTTTCTCCTAGGGTTTCTGATTATTGTATTGGCTATATTAGCAGTTTTTGTCAGCATATGTAGAAAAGTATACAGCTGTGCTTGTTTCAATCCAAAGATGAGCAACAAGTTTAGTTCTTGTCTTAGTGGAATATTTTACAAAGACAGATTGAATTACCGGGATGCCTTTAGTATTGAACAAAGCGGACCATAAGGAGTCTTGGATTAATTTATCCAAAAATCCTCAAAGGTATTGACAAAGTCTGCCCATTGAACTCGTGCACAATAAACGGTCATACACAAACTAGAGGACCCAAGAAATACATTTGAGACTGAGAACAGGGATCACATTATTAGTCAAGGGGTTGTGGATGTCTGGAACAAGCTGCCAAGTCACACTGACGAGCTGATACCCTGGATGCTTCAATAAATGGCCTGACAGGATCCTTGATTCACTCATACTAGTCACCAAACAAGCCAAATGGGATAAATAGTCTCTCCTTTTTTTAAATTTTATTATGATCATAATGAAGCATTTTAACAGTCTCTGAAAAGTCTAGAAATGCCAACTGCCAGCTGGTTATGAGAGGAAACAAACATCAGTAGCACCCCGTGCCCTGCAACATACATTGGATCACACAGAAGCTAATGAAGTGAGAAAAGTGATAGGGAGTGACAGGTTGTTGCAGGAGCTGTCTATTCTTGCATTAAATAAGTTATATATATATAAATATTAAGTATGTTTTCACAAATCCTGCTCTGCATTATAGGACCCATTCCCTTTTTTTACCCTCTGTATAATAGAAACAGCTACCTTATAAGTAAATATAGTTAAAATATCTCTTTTTCATTACAGGTTGCCTTAAAATCTTTGCTTTCCTTTGTTTAAATCTGTGTTGTTATACTACACAGAAAATATTTATTTTACTTTGTAAGACTTCAAACTTTAACATGACAGTCTAACAAAGGGATATTTATACCAGTTCTCCGGCTCCCTTCACAGAATCTCCAGAGAAGCATCTTATGACTTGAACCCGTGGAGGGGCATGGCTTGCCAGCTATATTTCAAACAGCCTTGTGGAAAGATAAAGAACGCATTGTATACACATGACACATGTAGCAGGATCCATTAGTGTTTGAAAAGGATTTACAATGTCAGGAGTGGCACCAGTGCTTAAATCCAACATTGAAATTGCCAGATGATTTCATGAGCTTGCAACTGTAATGCTGTAAATGTTAAAGTAGGAAGAACAAATGTTGGAAGAAATATAAGATTTATTTAATGTTTCCTAAAAAATCAGAAAGAAAGGTTTTACCGAACCATAGTTGTTTTCAGAGTTGTTACCCGTTAAAAAATGAATCCTGGGATTATCCAGAGAATTTTGCTCTATGAATAGTCATTTAATTGATACTGTATGTGTGTATCCTAGCCTGAATGTACCAGCTGTATTAATGGATAGTGCATTGACAATAACCTAGTAACCAATATTAACCTATAACAAGTTACCTAATAACTAATTACTCTACTCCTAATTTACACTGAAAGCACAACTGTGTTTCAGGTTAATTCTTTTATACATCTGCACCATTCTGAAAAATAAGTATGAGCTATCCTTGTAGTCCTTGTAATAGTGTGTTTGTTAGCTGGTACACATTTTAGTTGCTGAACATTTGATTGATATTTTACACCACGTGGATTGGTCCCTAAGGGTTTAAAAATAACAAATTGTGGATCCCAGATAAAGATCTTCTCAGTGGAAAGTCTGATTTGGGACGGTTTAGGCATCTGTTTTGGAAAAGTTCCAAGTAACAAAAGCTGACAGTTTCTGTGCAACAACCCATGACAAAAGAACTTAAAATAATAATGTTCATTGTTCCAAACTACAATGAAGTTCTGTCTGTTGTCTGGGTTTTTCAGGTGCTTCTGTGTTATCTGGGCGATAACAGCTGTCACTCTTTGATTTCTCCACCTCTGGGAAAAAAAAAATGTGGCTTTGCCTAGTGAGTCAGCCCAGCTAATGTGTATCTTGGCAAGCTGCTGTCTTTGATTAGATAGTATTTGGAAGGATTTTGATTCCTTCTATATAACATGATACAGTAGCAACAACTCACTGTTAGCATGCAAATCTAAATGCCAGGTCTTGAATGGCAAAAAAGCCTTATCATCAGATTAAATCAGGAGCATCACACACTAATATCTGCAAAGAACCCCTGGCATAATCTGTCAACACAGAAGTGTTTCAAACCAGTTTTGCCTCTTTTGAATATTACCGTTATTAATTAGGAAATCACTACCCATTATCATTTATTATCCCATTATCTTGCACAGATACCTGATAATGCTTTTATGTTAGTAGTTAGCGTGACAGTTATTATGCTTCTGTAACCTGAGGACATGAAAACTGCCGTTTAGCGGCCCTATTGTCTTGTTCCGATCTGCACTGCCATATCTGGAGACGTGCGTAAACTGCTGGTCCCTATGGGTTGGAGACAAACTGCTGAAAACAACTCTAGCTCTATTCTATACATAGCTAACAACAAAAGATCAAGCTCCCTTATACAGAGGCTTCATGGAACCAACTAGCTCTGCTGTTGTTTGATTATCTTTGAGTACCAAATGGGAAATACGTGTAAATCTTCAACTTAAATAGAATAGGAGGGTAGAAGCTGAGCCTATATTACAACCGGTATACTCATGTTCGAGAGGGCAAGACATGCTAGTAGATACTCTATTGATTCCTTCTTAAAGCCCAATGTCTCAGACCGGTTACGGTTAAATCTCGGTAACTAAATAAATTCATTAACATTATAGGAACATTTGACAAATTTCAAAATAATCACATAATTGTGAACTTTGTAAAAGTACTGGAAGCCACCATGTTCTTGCCAACCCCTGGTCTTGCCACGAGCGAGATTTAGAATTCCCATGAATTGAGAAGTGATACAGCCCTTCCTGCTCACTAGTCAACGTAATAACTAACGTAATACAATGTAGGTTGTGCATCAGACATTTCACTGCAGAAGTGTTCCAATGTGATCTGCATGGAAAGCAGTATTTGTCGGCAAAACCGTCTCAAAATCAAGAGCAATATTTCTATTGGATT